TGTCGTCTACATAACATACTATATAGGTCATATCTAGGCAGAACAAAGAGGGAGGTTCTGCATAATCAGTTTCAGAAGCTAGGTGCCAAATTAAGAAGCATAACTTCAAAGGTCATAATTTCTGCATGATTACCTGATCCACAGGGAAATTAGCAGCGTGCAAAACAGACAAGAGAGATGAATACATAGTTCAAATACTGAGAGAAGTGGGTTCATCGGCCAGTGGCACCAATACTAGGGAAAATGGAATTTATACCAATGGGATGGTATCCATCTGAACTATATGGCAATCAGTGTTCTTGCCAACTGCATAACTCGGGAAGTTGAGATGATTTTAAATGAAATAATGGGGGAAAGGGATCAAATTTAGAAAGATGGGGTTAATCAAAGAGAATAGTTGAGGTCTAAGGAAATATGTTAATATAAGAAATGGTAAACAGACCATTGCAGGAAGGGATAGAGAGCATGAATTTAAAAGTCAACCAACAAGTAAGAGTAGAATGGAAAAGGATTAAACTAAAGTCTCTGAATGCAATTGGACATAGCATTCAAAATAAATGCACTGAGAGTGCAAATAGAAATATATAAGTATGGCCTGTTAGCTATTACAGAGACACAGCTGCAGGATGACATGGAGTTGCACTGCAATCTTGGGTGTGGGGGTAGAGGGCATTTAGGAATAACAGGAAAGTAGGAAAAGGTGGAGGGATGCATTTTTTTTAGTTATTAATAAATAGTATTCAAATAATAGAAAGAGATGAAACTAAATGCGGAAACAGTTTGGGTAAAAATGAAAAAAGACGAAGGCAAGAAATCGCTGTGAGAGTGGTGTACAGGTCCAGTAACAGTAATCACACAGTACGGTGAGGCAGAAAGAAAACAAAATCAGAACTTGTCAGAAAGACATGATTTTAAATACGACATATTTTGTTTTATTGACTCTGGCTGAAGCGTTCACTGCAATCTTCAGCCAGAAGTGCTGAGTGGATGATCCATCTCGGTCTTCTCCAGTGCTCCAACCCCACCTCTTTGACCTGTCTGTCTCCTCTCCACCTATCTTCTCCTTTATCCATCTTCTATCCGCCTCCCCCTCTCTCCCTATTTATTTCAGAACCCCCTTCCCCTCCCCCATTTCTGAAGAAGGGTCTGGACCCAAAACGTCAGCTTTCCTGCTCCTCTGATGCTGCTTGGCCTGCTGTGTTTATCCAGCTCTACACCGTGTTATCCCAGAATTACAGATACCTGTCTTCAGTCGATTCAATTCACTCCACGTGATATCAAGAAACAACTGGAGACACTGGATACTGAAAAGGCTACGGGCCCTGACAACATTCCAGCAATAGTACTGAAGACTTGTGCTCCAGAACTTGCCGCTCCCCTAGCCAAGCTGTTCCAGTACAATTACAGCACTGGTATCTACCCGACAATGTGGAAAATTACCCAAGTAAGTCCTGTACATAAAAAGCAGGACAAATCCTAGCTGGTCAGTTACCGCCCCATCAGCCTACTCTTGATTGTCAGTGAAGTGATGGAAGGTGTCATCAACAGTGCTATCAAGCAGCACCTACTCAGCAATAACCAGCTTAGTGATGCCCACCAGGGCCACTCAGCTCCTGACCTCATTACAGCTTTGGTTCTAACATGGACAAAAGAACTGAATCCAGAGGTGAGGTGAGAGTGACAGCCCTTGACATCGAGGCTGTATTCAACCAAGTGTGGCATCGAAGAGCCCTAGCAGCACTGGAATCAATGGGTATTGGGGCAAACTCTCCACTATTTGGAGTCATACCTGACACATAGGAAGATGGCCATGGTTGTTGGAAGTCGGTTATTTCAGCTCCAGGATATCTCTAGATGTTCCTCAAGGTAGTGTCCTTGGCCCCACCATCTTCTGCAGCTTCATCAATGACATTCCCTCCATCATAAGGACAGAAGTGGGGATGTTTGCTGATGATTGCACAATGTTCAGCACAATTTGTGAGTCCTCAGATACTGAAGCAATCCATGTTCACATGCAACAAGATCTGGACAATATCCAGGCTTGGGCTGACAATTGGCAAGTAACATTCACAACACACAAATGCCAGGCTATGACCATCACCAATAAGAGACAATCTAACCACCTCCCCATGGCATTCAGTGGTGTTACCATCACTGAAGCCCCCACTATCAACATCCTGGGGGTTACCATTGACAAGAAACTCAAGAAACTGTAACTCACCACATAAATGCAGTGGTTACAAGAGCAGCCAGAAGCTGGGAATACTGCGGCGAGTAACTCACCTTCTGACTCCTCAAAGCCTGTCCACCATCTACAAGGCACAAGTCATGAGTGTGATGGAATAATCCCCGCTTGCCTGGATGAGTGCACCTCCAACAACACTCAAGAAGCTTGACACCATCCAGGACAAAGCAGCCTGTTTGATTGGCACCACATCCACAAGCATCCACTTCGTCCACCACTGACACTCAGTAGCAGCAGAGTGTAATATCTACAAGATGCACTGCAGAAATTCACCAAAGATCCTCAGACAGCACCTTCCAAACCCACGACCACTTTCACCTAGAAGAACAAGAGCAGCAGATGTATGGGAACACCACCACCTTCAAGTTTCCCTCCAAGCAACTCACCATCCTGACTTTGAAATATATCACATTTCCTTCACTGTTGCTGGGTCAAAATTCTGGAATTCCCTCCATAATGGCATTGTGGGTCAACCCACAGTAAGTAGACTGCAGTGGTTCAAGAAGGCAGCTCACCACCACCTACTCAAGGGCAACTAGGGATGGGCAACAATGCTGGCTCGCCAGCGATGCCAACATCTCTCAAATGAATAAAAAATAAAAATAAAACTGGTTGGACATAGACATGGCTGGCTGACCAACATTTATTGCCTGTCCCTAGTTGCTCTTGAGGAGGTGGTAGTTAGCTGCCTTTTCACCCACTGAAGTCCATGTGCTGTAGGTAACCCAAGATGACCTACTTCCAAGTGGCTTTGAGGGAAACTTGCAGGAGGTGATGGTGTTCCCATGTATCTCCTGCCCTTGTCCTTCCAGATAGAAGTGGTTTTGGGCTTGGATGGTGTTGTATAAGTACCTTTGGTGAATTTCTGCAGAGCTCCAAGTATATAGAAGCAGCAGTGTGTCCTGAACTTTGATGGTGGAGGGCATTATTGCTTGTGAATGAGATACCAATCAAGGTCTCTGTATGGTGTCAAACATCATGAGCGGTGTCGAAGTTGCCCTCATCCAGGCATATGGGGAGAATTCCATCACACTCCTAACTTGTGCTTTGCATATAATGAACAGGCTTTGGGGAGTTAGGAGGTGAGATACTCCTTGCAGTATTTCTAAACTTTGACATGCTCTTGTAGCACGGTATTTATTTTGTGAGTCCAGTTGAGTTTCTGGTCAATTTGTAATTCCCTTGGATGTTGATAGCGGGGTTTCCGTGATGGTAACATCATTTGATATCAAGGAGTGTTGGTTACATTGTCTCTGATTGGAGACAGAATTGCTCGGCATTTGAGTGGCACGAATGTTACTTGCCACTTGTCAGGCCAAGCCTGGATATTTTGAACATGGGCTGCTTCAGTATTTGAGGAGTCACGAATGATGCTGAACATTGTGTAATCAATAGCGAACATCGCTACGTTTGACCTTATGATGGAGGGAAGGTCATTGATGAAGCAGTTGAAGATGGTTGGGCCTGAGGAACTCCTGCAGAGATGTCCTGGAGCTGTGATGACTAATTCCAACAACCACAACCATTTTCCTCTGTGCCATGCATGAGTCCAACCAGCAGAGAGTTTGTCCCCTAATATCCATTGATTCCAGTTCTGCTAGGGCTCCTTGATGCCACACTCGGTCGAATATGGCCTTGATGTCAAGAGCTGTCACTCTCACTTCACGTCTGGACTTCAGCTCTTTTGTCCAAATTTGAACCAATGCTGTAATGAGATCAGGAGCTGAGTGGCCCTGGCAGGACCCAAACTGGGTGTCGCTGAACAGGTCATTGCTGAGCAGGTTCTGCCTGACAGTAATATTGATGACATCTTCCATCATTTTACTGGCGATCGAGAGGAGACTGATGAGACAATAATTGGCAGATTGAGTTTGTCCTGCTTTTTGTGTACAGAACAGACCTGACAATTTTCTGCAGATTTGGGTAGATGCCAATGTTGTAACTATACTGGAACAGTTTGACTAGGGGAACAGCAAATTCTGGAGCCCAAGTTTTTAGTACTATTGCTGGAATGTTGTCAGGGCCCGCAGCCTTTGCAGTATCCAGTGTCTCCAAACATTTCTATACCACGTGGAGTGAATCAAATTGGCTGAAGACTGGTATCTGTGGACCAGCGGAGGAGTCTGAGATGGATCATCCACTTGTCACTTCTGGCTGAAGATGGCTGTGAATACTTCAGCCTTATCTTTTGCACTGATGTGCTGGGCTCTTCCATCATTGAGGATGGGGGTATTTGTGCAGCCTCAATCTCCAATGAATTGTTTAATTGTTCACCACCTTTCACGACTGGATATGGCAAGACTGCAGGGCTTAAATCTATCCATTGGCTTACTTTATAGAGGTTTATAAAACCATGAGGGCCATGGGTACGGTGAATAGCCAAGGTCTTTTTCCTAGGGTGGTGGAATCCAAAACTAGAGGAGATAGTTCCTTTTTAAATCTTTCCCCTTTCACCTTAAACCTGAGAGGTAATTTTTTCACACAGAGGCTGGTGCGTGTATAGAACGAGCTGCCAGGTGAAGTGGTGGAGATGGGTACAATCACAACATTTAAAAGGCAACTGGATGGGTGCATGAATAGGAAGAGCTTGGAGGGATATGGACTTGGACAAGTTGGACTGAAAGGTCTGTTTCTGTGCTGTACGACTCTATGACTCTATGTTTGTGAATGTCATATCCGCCTATCTCTGGGGTATAAAACACAACAAGTCCAACATCCACACTTGCCACTTGCCTGTTATTAGCAGGTAGCCCCTGGGTCATGTGATTCTCCATATCCTCCTGTCGACATCGTCCCTGGAATGATAAAAATTTTGTCATGGATACAACAGAGGAATCTTATTTTTATGACAACCAGTTTGACACACAGACATTGTGTTAGATAGGATGAAGTATTATTAATTATTAATTCAAAAGAATGAAAATTAAAACTATGAATAAAAGCAAAACATCGCAAAGGATAGTAAAAAATGGTAGCAATGTCAAACAAAACAATCCAGATTGTTAACATCCTCACAACAGTGTGAGCCCAGAGAATGAGTCTTGGAATATTTTGTCTAGTGGGATACATTGGCTATGTGGGCATTACTGGCCAAGCCAGCACTTACTGCCTTGAGGGCAGTTAACAGTGAATCACATTGAATCAGAGACAGTAGGAACTGCAGATGCTGGAGAATCCGAGACAATAAGGTGCAGAGCTGGATGAACACAGCAGACCAAGCAGCATCTTGCTCCTATGATGCTGCTTGGCCTGTTTTGTTCATCCAGCTCTGCACCTTGTTTTCTCAGTGAATCACACTGTATGGGTCTGGAGTCAAGTAAAAGTTAGACTAGATAACGCTGACAGATTTCCTTCCCTAGAGGACATTAGTGAACCAGATGAGTTTTAACATCAATGGTTGTCATTAGGTTAGCTTTTTATTCCACTTTTTTTTATTGAATTCAAGTTTTACCGTTCTGCATAGTGGGATTCAAACCAATATCTCCAGAACATTAATTTGGTTCTCTAGTTTATTGATCCAGTGACATTACCTGTTATCCCAACCCCCCTATTGTCTCCACAACATTTTGTGTAAGTACACTATCACCATGTCAATAGGCAGCCAAAGCATCCCACACTGATAATGTTTGAATGCGCGTCACAAGAACCATTGCTGATCTTTGAATGCATGTCATATGAACCATTGTGGCACATATTGCTGTGGGGTATTAACTAATGCAGCCAAGTATTCCTGATATCCTTCCAGCCCAGCAAGCACCCAGTAGCATTCACACTGGCTGAGCTTGATTGAATTTAAATCCTAGTGGTTTTGAATGTCTCGGATTTTTTGGGCAGTTAAACAAACGGCCAAAGATCACATGGGTAACGTAACTGCAGATTCTGTTCTATGGAGCCAGTCCCAAAATGCTCTATGCTTCAACAAGCCATTAATAATTCCAATCAGAATGGACAGAGCAAAAATTGGATGAAAATCGAGCATCACTAGTCAGCCAATTTCACAGCTGGTTGTGCCCATCTTACACCTATAAAGAAAATGATAAGATGCTCTCAGAGGTTCCAAATGGTTCTTTAGGAGGAGTGTCAAGGCTTCAGTGTGGGCATGGAGATAGTTACTGGAATGGGACACAGGATAAGGGAATTCAGTTATTTAGAGAGATTGTGGCTGTTCAGACAGAGAGATTGCAAGAGGAAATTTGATGGAGGCATTCAAAATCATGAATTGTTCTGATGGAATGTATAAAGTGAAGACCATTTCAGTGGCAGAATGAGTAATATTCAGAAAATCTTGGCAAAGGAAACAGAAAGAAACATATATCTTAATACAGCAAGTTATTGTAATCCGGAATGTACTAGCTAAAAGGGTTTTGGAGACAAAAACAACCGTAGCACTCAAAGGAGATTCAGTTAAATATACGATAATATGTGCAGGGCTGTGAGGACAGTGTAAGGAGTGGAATCAATAGTTCTACTAAGGAGCCAGCCCAGGCACTATGGGCTGAATGATCTTCTTTTGTGCTGTATTAGTATCCCTAATAGCCGTCTTCAAAATAATTAAATTGTCTTGTAAGCAAATCAGACTGCCACCCATCTCCATCAAATCTGAATAAAAACCAAAAGAACTGCGGATGCTGTAAACCCACCAACTCCCACAGCTACCTGGACTATACATCCTCACACCCCACTTCCTGTAAAGACTCCATCCCATTCTCTCAATTCCTCTGTCTCCGTCGCGTATGTTCAGATGAGGCCAACTTCGACAAGGAAGCCTCTGAAATGTCCACATTCTTCCTCAACCGAGGAATCCCCAGCTCCGTTGTCGACAGGGCCCTCAATCAGGTCCGACCCATCTCCTGCACTTCTGCCCTCACCCCTTCTCTTCCCTCCCACAACAGCGATAGGGTTCCCCTTATCTTTACCTACGATCCCACCAGCATCCACATCCAGAAGATCATCAGACGCCATTTCCGCCACCTCCAGCAAGATGCCACCACCAGACACATATTCCCCTCGCCTCCCTTGTCCGCCTTCCACAGGGACCATTCCCTCTGGGACACCCTGGTCCATACTTCCTTCACCCCCAACACCTCCCCACAGCCCTTCGGCACCTTCCGCTGCAACACTTCACCTGCACTTCAAGAATCTAGTCTACTGCATTCGCTGCTCACAATGTGGTCTCCTCTACATTGGGGAAACGAAGCATAGACTTGGCGACCGCTTCACAGAACATCTACGTTCTGCTCGCAAAAAAGACCCTGAACTACCTGTTGCCTGCCACTTCAATGCACCACCCTGCTCCCTGGCCAACATCTCTGTCTCTGGCTTGCTACAATGTTCCACTGAAGCCCAACACAAGCTGGAGGAACAACACCTCATTTTCCGCTTGGGGACCCTACAGCCCTCCGGACTCAATATTGAGTTCAATAATTTTAGGGCCTAAACTCTCCCATGTCCCAGCCCCCCACCCCACACACCAGGCCTTGTTACCACATAGCCTGCCACTACACATTGCCTCAATTGAGTTAGAAGAAATAATCAGTTTACAAGCAGACTGATGTAAACAGGAAACGAATAATTTAGTTTAACTAAAAAGCACAAATGATCATTTCTTATTATAAAGTTAGACTTAACAAATTTCTCTTTGAGCAAATGATTTTATTACAGTCAATGACCCAATAGGTCAAATGGAATATAATCTCTCCTTCTATTGTAATATTACATCTGATTCTCGATAAATTTTGCTGAAGCTAAAAATGAATAGAATCATTTTTCAATGCTATAATTACAGATAATCAATGTAAAGTAATAAGATGATTGTAGTATGCATGCTTCATTTACCTGCTTCAATGGACAATGTCATTTTTTAATTAAGGCAGAAAATACTCAACAAATCAGTGTGCATATCAAAAGAGAAAAGCTGTTTTAATTTTTGTAAAGCAATCTGTTGCTGTGTTTTGTATGTAGCTCTTCAGTCACACGACGATCAACAAATGTCGGTCTCTCAGCTACTCAACCTCCTTTCCTTAGACTGCATCCCACCTGGTTTCACAAGAGTTCATTGCAACTTTTAAAATCTGCCATAATTCCAGCTCTCCAGCTGCTCTGAACTGAAAACACCAATTTGCAGACCATTCTTAGCCAGACTGCATGAAACCAGTTAACGGGAGCACTTTAGCAACAAGAACTAACTTTCTTTGACTCCCTCTCACAAACAAACTTGAACTTCTGTGACTGACCCTTGAACTGATCTCAGTAACTTACCATAACTCTTCAAAAGAGTCCTGCCCCTATTACGAGTCAGGAACAAATATTTCATGCACTGGAACATCTTGTACTTTAAATGCTGCAATGTTATTGGTCACTAGATTGCATAACACTAATGGATATAGAGAAAAGAATCATAGGGGTGATAGTATTTTATATACCCATCCAATAATACCCAAGAGAGAGCTAAGAAGAGCCAGGAGGGGACATGAGAAGTTTTTAGCAGGTAGGATCAAGGAAAACCCTAAAGCTTTCTGTAGGTATGTCAGGAATAAAAGAATGACTAGATTAAGATTAGGACCAGTCAAGGACAGTAGTGGGAAGTTGTGCGTGGCATCTGAAGAGATGGGAGAGCCACTAAATGAATATTTTTCGTCAGTATTCACACAGGGAAAAGACAATGTTGTTGAGGAGAATACTGAGATACAGGCTATTAGACTAGACGGGATTGGGGTTCATAAGGAGGAGGTGTCAGCAATTCTGGAAAGTGTGAAAATAGATAAATCCCCTGGGCCAGATGGGATTTATCCTAGGATTCTTTGGGAAGCTAGGGAGGAGATTGCAGAGCCTTTGGCTTTGATCTTTATGTCGTCATTGTCTACAGGAATAGTGCCAGAAGACTGGAGGATAGCAAATGTTGTCCCCTTGTTCAAGAAGGGGAGTAGAGACAACCCTGGTAATTATAGACCAGTGAGCCTTACTTCGGTTGTGGGTAAAGTGTTGGAAAGGATTATAAGAGATAGGATTTATAATCATCTAGAAAGGAATACTTTGATTAGGGATAGTCAACACGGTTTTGTGAAGGGTAGGTCCTGCCTCACAAACCTTATTGAGTTCTTTGAGAAGGTGACCAAACAGGTGGATGAGGGTAAAGCGATTGATGTGGTGTATATGGATTTCAGTAAAGCGTTTGATAAGGTTCCCCACGGTAGGCTATTGCAGAAAATACGGAGGCATGGGATTGTGGGTGATTTAGTGGTTTGGATCAGAAATTGGCTAGCTGTAAGAAGACAGAGGGTGGTGGTTGATGGGAAATGTTCATCCTGGAGTTCAGTTACTAGTGGTGTACCACAAGGTTCTGTTTTGGGGCCACTGCTGTTTGTCATTTTTATAAATGACCTGGATGAGAGCGTAGAAGGATGGGTTAGTAAATTTGCGGATGACACTAAAGTCGGTGGAGTTGTGGATAGTGCGGAAGGATGTTGCAGGTTACAGAGGGACATAGATAAGCTGCAGAGCTAGGCTGAGAGGTGGCAAATGGAGTTTAATGCGGAAAAGTGTGAGGTGATTCACTGTGGAAGGAGTAACAGGAATACAGAGTACTGGGCTAATGGTAAGATTCTTGGTAGTGTGGATGAGCAGAGAGATCTCGGTGTCCATGTGCATAGATCCCTGAAAGTTGCCACCCATGTTGATAGGGTTGTTAAGAAGGTGTACGGTGTGTTAGGTTTTATTGGTAGAGGGATTGAGTTTCGGAGCCCATGAGGTCATGTTGCAGCTATACAAAACTCTGGTGCGGCTGCACTTGGAGTAT